CGGACGCTTAACCGACTGCGCCACCCAGGCGCCCCAGGCCAGTGCTTTCCTAAAGGCCGTGGGGAGGGAGCCTTTGAGGGTTTTGAGCATGATACATCCGTGATCAGCTTTGCATTTGAGGAAGTCACTGTGGGGTCCTGGTCTAGCATGGTTGGAAGTGAGGCAGCCTAGAGATTGGACGACAATGAGGAGGGGATTGAGTGGGAGAGCCAGAGGCCTGAGTCAGGGCGGGCACAGGGCAACAGGGTTGAGTGGGCAAGTTGGTGAACTCTGGAGGTGAGACAGTTATAGGACATGGCTGAGGATTGTGTGTGAATAGAGGAGGCAAGAGGAGGGGCGGGATGATGAGCAGAGTTCTGGGAGTCTGAGTGGACCGTGGGGCCATCACTGAGGTAGGGACATGGGGGAAGGGTAGGTATAGGGAGGTACTGAGTTGGGTTTGACGTGTTGATGATCTGTGCCCGATGGACATCTGGGGAGGCATCCAGGAGGCACCTGGTTATGTGAGTCTGGATATAGGAACTCACGAGGCAGCTACAGTAACTTCCATTCATCAGTTACCGCTGTGTAACAAACCACCCCCGACACTCAGTGGTAAAAAGCAACAATTATTTATTATCACTCACGCACCCGCATGCTGACGCACCTGCGTGTCGACTGCAGGTTGGGCTTCACTGGCCGCTCGGCTTCAGACAAGGTCTGCAGGTCTGTCAGGTGGTGGGACTTACGGACGCTGAGCTCCCCTTTCCTTCGGGCCCTGACCTGAATCCCCCCTTACTCTTCCTCCACTCTGCCTTGAGCCTGTGGGTGACATTTGAGCAAAGACTTGCAGGAGGTGAGGGAGTGAGGATGTCTCGAGGAAGAGTGTTCTAGGCAGGGGGAGCAGCCGGTGCAAAGGCCCTGCGGTGGAACGGTGCCCGCTGTGTTTGAGGAACAGGAAGGAAGGCCAGTGTGGCTGGAGGGCATGATTGAGGGGTGCAGGGGAGGTCAGGGGCCTCGGTCATATGGGGCCCGGAAGGCCATGGCAAGTGGCCACTACCCTTGTTATTGCTGCCACTGTCACTTTTCACACTCTCCTCCTATCCCCTACAGGACCCCCCGTCCCTGGACACAGCCATTCAGCACGCCCTGGCAGGCCTCTATCCCCCTTTTGAGGCCACAGCGCCCACCATCCTGGGGCAGGTATTCCGTCTCCTGGATTCTGACTTCCAGGGGGATGGGCTGAGCTTCCTCCTGGATTTCCTCATTCCTGCCAAGCGCCTGTGTGAGCAAGTGCGTGAAGCAGCCTGTGTAAGTTGGAAGGGACAGTGGGGCCGGGGGACAAGCTCTCCCAGAACCGCGGGGCTGGCGCTGAGCAGAGAAGGAAGCGGGCCGGTGCGTGGCTTGTCTCAGAGCGAGAACTGAGGACACGGGATGGTTCTCCGGGTATCACCGCTCGCCCAAGGGAGACTTCAGCCCCCCAGTGGAACGGGAGGTTCATTTGACCCTCTGCTCTCTGGCAGCTAGGAGCCAATCACGCCTATGCTTTTATCCAGGAGGAAGTCCTGGATAAAAGACATCCCTGCGTGATGGCCCCTCGGAGCCTGTCCTGGGGCTGGCATTGTGGGCAACACCAGGCTGCCTTGGCTGAAGCGGGTCAGCTTCAGTGGAAATAGAGAATGTTCCAGATCTTTCCTGGAGGCCTTGAGGCCTCAGGACTCACTTTCTTCCCAGCAGACCCCTTTGAACCCAGATCTCAGGGAGGCCTCTCTAAGGCAAAGTGGAAAGAAAAGTGTTTTAGGTAGGGCTCATTGGCTGCAAATAACCCGTTCTTTACTCAGACCGGGACAAGGTAATCGGTCTCAGCCCCGAGTTGATGCACCAATCAAATGCCTTAAGGGGTTTCTGTCTCTTGTCTCTGCTTCTCCTTGCTTGCCAACATCATTCTTTTTTTTTTTTTTAATTTTTTTTTTTAATGTTTTTTATTTATTTTTGAGACAGAGAGAGTCAGAGCATGAACGGGGGAGGGGCAGAGAGAGAGGGAGACACAGAATCAGAAGCAGGCTCCAGGCTCTGAGCCATCAGCCCAGAGCCCGACGCGGGGCTCGAACTCACGGACCGCGAGATCGTGACCTGAGCCGAAGTCGGACGCTTAACCGACTGAGCCACTCAGGCGCCCGCTTTTTTTTTTTTTTAATGTTTATTATTTATTTTTTAGAGGAAGAGAGAGAGACAGCATACAAGCAGGGGAGGGGCAGAGAGAGGGGGAGACACAGAATCCGAAACAGGCTCCAGGCTCCGAGCTGTCAGCACAGAGTCCGACGCGGGGCTCGAACCCACGAACTGCGAGATCATGACCTGAGCCGAAGTCGGACGCTTAACTGACTGAGTCACCCAGGCGGCCCTTGCCAACATCATTCTTATAGGCTGTCTCCACACGCCTGGAGCCCAGGGCAGCCCTGGGTTCAAATCTTGTCCTGGGGAGGAGAGAGAACTTTTCCCCAACAACAGCAGATAGAAAAGTTGCAAGGAAGGATCCTGATTGGCCAGGCTTGGGTTCTATGTCCATCCCTGGGCCAATCACTGCAGCCAGAGAAATGGGATAGCAGGATTGGCCGGGCTTGAATCATACCCCTACATCTATGGCCAGACATGGTGACTGTTGTAAGGGTGGGGACAGGCTGTTGGAGACCACACGCAGGAACTTATGCACACCCTTCATGGGATTGCTCGGTCCCCTGCGGCTCCTGCCTCAGGAATCACTAAGAGGGTCCCAGAGGGTCCCAAAAGGTCCTGCTGGCTGATGTGCGTCAGGGACACGATACCTCAGGCACAAAAAGTAAGAGCAGAGGCTGTGTGCATCATTGCAGTGGTAGAAAGAAACGGAATGTGGCAGTAGCTAAAAACTCGGGTTTTGGAGCCAGAACTAGAGATGTTGGACCTGGAAGGAGACGGAGGCCATTCATCTCACGTGCTCAGGATGGTTCCTGGCACAGAGAAACAGTGACGTACAGTCATGGTTACTGCAGAGGGAAGGCTCACACCGAGCTTATGCTGCCGACTCCCACATATCCACCCCGACACTATTTCACGTACGTCCTTCCCCTCCTGACGCCTTCCCTGTGGCAAGCTTTAGAAACTCCCGCTTCCCTTTTCTGGTCATTAAAACTGCATTTTCACCATCTCCTTCCCTGTTTCTCCCGGGAACAAGGGTCACAACGTTTTAATTTCTCTATTTTTAACGACAGGCGACTTTAATTATAATTATAGGTGACTCCCTATCACCTCGGAGCCAGGGGTGGGATCAATAGTTTGGTTTCAGGAGTCAGGTGCCCCAGGTTCAAATCCAGCCTCCGTCACTGTGGAGCTGGGGGGGAGGGGGTCCGTGTCGCCTGTCTGAGCTTCACTTTCCTTGATGGGAAAGTGGGAATGTTAATAACACAGTCCCTACCTCACAGAGATGATGCGCGCAGCTTAGCACAGAGCCTGGCGTGCAGTGAGTGCTTAGTAGCTGTTGGCTGTTTACTATCACACTCTCGCCTCTCTCCCTTGGAAGTAATGTGCCAGCTTCAGTCTGTCCTTGTAACCGCCAGCACCCAGAGGCAGCCAGCACCCTCAGATGAAGTCCCCTGGGGGTTAGGGACAGACACAGGTGTCCGAGCCTCACGCCCCCTGAGCCTCAGTTTCCTCGTCTCTAAAGTGAGGACAGTGATGCCTCAACTCCCTGCCCCACTGAGTTACTGCGACGTTCAGATAAGACGATCATCACCATCATCTCTATGGTGCGTTGCCGTTTGCAAACTACGGCCGGGTTGTCCGGCCTCGTTCAATGGGACAGTGAGGGACAGCACGTTGTCAACAACAGAGCACTAAACGAAAGTGGTGGAGGAACTCACGGACTCATGGGGTTGATGGATGTGAAGTTTCCCCGAGGCAGCTGAACTTAACAGGGTCACTGACGTGAACCGGCGTATCAACTTGGGGTACAGATACGGTCGGTTCTTGATATTTCCCCCAGTTCATAGTCCCAGGAAGCACCTGCTTCATTAGCAGGAACGTCAGCGTCATCGTGTGGAGGTCTCCCCGCCCCGACACATCCAGATTACATAAGATTATCCGGGTTCTACTCAATCCGCAGGAATCCGACCCTTTTCCAAAAGCCAGGTAGCGAGAGACCTGTTGTCAGTCTGGCGGGGCTGTTGTTGCCACGTGGGGTCACTGCTGGACGCGGGTCCCGCACCACCCAGTGGAGCGGTCCCACCAAGAGGGATCGTTGTGTTCAGAAGGGCTCCTGGATGCCCTGCTGTGTCTCTGCAGCGAATTGCTGGCACCTTCTGTGTAAACAAAGCTTTTTTTCAGTTTTGCCTCACCTGCCACGTTGTTGCCCAGGAAAGGGACATAAACAAGGAAGTAAGTCGATCATAAACCAGGAAACAATACACATTCAGGCCCAGAGTAATGGAATGATTTTTTTTCACGGTCATCCAGCAAGTTAGTGGCAGGGTCAGATTTCCTGATCTTTCTCTCAGTATTGTTTTGACCTCTCTGTAATCTCTTTACCTAAAAATTAGAGAATGCTGGTGGTGCCCGGAGCGCCTGGGTGGCTCAGCCAGTTAAGCGTCTGACTTTGGCTCAGGTCACGATCTCACAGTTCGTGGGTTTGAGCCCAGCATCTGGCTCTCTGCTGTCATTGCAAAGCCCACTTTGGATTCTCTGTCCCCCTCTCTCTCTGCCCCTCCCCTACTTGCACGCTCTCTCTCTCTCTGTCTCTCTTCCTCAAAAAGAACATTAAAAAAATTACAGAATGGTATAAATGCAGTAAGTGGCCATTTTATTTTATTTTTTTCAAGTTTTGTTTGAGTGGGGGAAGGGCAGAGGGTGAGGGAGAGACGGAATCCCAAGCAAGCTCCGGGCTGTCAACACAGAGCCTGACACGGGGCTCAATCTCACGAACTGTGAGATCA